CCTACCGCTATGCAAGATGCATAGGGCCGCTGCCCTTGGAACTTACTACGCACCATGTTGCATTTGACAATGGAACACTACAGTACATAAGTAATGCACAAGATCATGACTTGTCCTAACGTACAAAAATTATGTAAAAATCTTTGCATTGCTTAACTGATTACAAACAAATTAAACTTGAAACATGAATAAATTCAATTGATTGATTGAAATCGTCGTATGACGAATAAAACAATTTAGAAATTGGCTATAAGAAACAATGGTTCCTACTTATAAACAATTCTCATATCATCAATCTCAGACTAGCCCATTTCATCCAACAACCAATAATTGATAAATATTTATTTCCTTTTAAAATCAAGTTTTATTTGAACGACTTAGCAACCTCGTATGTTACCTCGTATGTTTATTGCGCAGTTAAACTGTATATCCGCATAAATCACTGCTGCGTTTACAACGAAACTATCACTCCGCTTTTGAGGTTATGGTACCACCACATCACGTATTGATCATACTTATAAATAACCGAAAAAGACACATAACTCAAAATCTAACAATATTACATCTAAATCAAACCTATCGAAACTAAAAGATGAAATAAAAATAACTAGAAATGATTAGCTTTCAAATGCAATTCTTGTGCCTACTTGGTGCACTTATATCATCCTCGTTTCTCGTAGAAGGAATATAGAAAAGCAAGTAATGATCTTGTTACGCTTATCAAACACATGCATATAACACGTGAAGAAACTATTGTAACATCTGTAAATCATTTCAAATATGACCCCAAACAAATTTATCGTTTAATGTTACCTAATGATTTCATTTGCTTAGGTTTGATTGGGCCGTGATAGCTCAGTATCCGTACCTGCTCGTCTTTAATTCAATTCACTCGAGCAACCCGAGTTCCATCCCCGGTGCCAGCCCCAATGAAATTGTAAATTTTAAGTGCTGACTTATCACGTGCTCGGCGGTGAAGGAAAACATCGTGAGGAAACCTGCAGATTTTCGAAATAATAATAAAAAAGAATATGTGAAATCCGCCAATGTGAAATCCGTGGTGGACTATGCCCTGATATCCTCTTTACAGAGGAGGCCTTTGCCCAGCTGTGGGACATTTATAGATGTTACTTTACTTCTTTACTTAGGTTTGATTCTAATTCAATTATATTAATAAAATACATTACAATCCCGAAATCTTTAACGACAATTGTTATATAGTGTCCTATACGCAGCACCGCGTGGCATAGCTCAAAGGTCAATCAAAGGTCAGAAGTAGTGAGTACAATACTTTAGTGAGATACCGGTAGAATGTAATTTATGAAGTAAAAGTTTGTTACACCAATCTTGAATTATGATTGTTAGGGAGGTCTACTCTTTTTCCAAGATTTTATTTAATTATAGACCAATACCCAATTATTCTTTTTGCTTAGAATTTAATAGCATGAACAAAAAAATCAATACAATATACATATGTAAATTTTAATTCGAAACTAAGCACATCTTTATGGAATTCATAATTTCAAACTATTTTAAATGTTTAATATCTTGAAAACATTACACCTTAACCTCGAATTATTACACCCAAATCGATACTGAGGAATAAAATTACTGTTCTTTGTGATTCCTTTGGTTTGAAAGACACATAGTAGGTAAAATATCTGGATCACACTTAGTCAGTTCCACAATAACTAAACTATTTGTAAAGAAGGATCGTCCGAATGAAATTGTTATAGAACTGTTATTATCTGTTTTTCGGCTCTCGTCTATTTTAGATAACGAATTCAACCACTTTTATCATCGTCACTCATTCCATATAGATATCTCACTAAATATCATGTAGAGATAAACGATAAATAAACAGTCCTTGCTACGCTAATTTTTTTATTATTGTTTTAATGGTTCAGTTTATATAGGTAGTTCGAAGAAATGTCATCACAAAGATGGTTACAATTAGCATAGTATTTCCTGTATATTTCCTGGTTATATGAGATAAATATAATCATATATTATGTATAACAAAAACCTCCATTTGAGTTTTCTTTCAAATCTTCTATAAACTGCGGTAATGGTACAACAATTAAAACTGAATAAAGGTATTATTTTGTAGCTTAAAAAACCTCATAGATCGTATAAAAAATAAGCTGAGAACTCGTTAAAAGTTTAATAAAAGATCAGTCCGACTTATTGAAATGGCTACGAAACTCTTTAATAACTATTATTTTACTAGAAATTATTCTCAATGATTCAATAAAATATAGTGTTTATACCGTGTGTACAGTACGGTATAAACACTATATTTTAAATAAACACTTTATTACCATATCCATAACTAACATAAAAACTCTCCGCTAATTAATTTTTAGTTAGTAAATTAATCCTCTAATGAAACTTCATTCATTTTGTAATATCATTTGTAAAATAGTCTTGGAAAGGAATTTTAAATTATGATGATAATTATTGTAACAGAATCCCCCTGAAAAACGCGATAAATATTTGTATATAAAACATGAAAATTTTTGATAGAAACCGACCAGATCGAAAACATTTTGAGATTTTCAATGCGAGGTCAATGATAGCTGAAAATACGAGGACAAGAATGCTGAGCTGACGATTTTAACTTTATTTTATACTTTGTTTTAAAATTATTAATTAAATTTTACGATAAGTAAGCTTAAGCTTAAGTTTTAATTTAAAAATATAACGATAAATAAAAAATATAACGTTTTGTCCTTACATCATTGTGAAAACAACTGATAGGCTATTGAATTACAGAATGTGATACAAAGAAAATCATAATCTTTTTAAAAAGCATGACTATTTTGCTAAAGCATATCTCTTTCTGAGAAGTTCACTAGCAATTATTCATCGATATAATTACCGCAATACGTTGCCGCAAAGCTGTTGAGCTAGTAGAGTTCGTAGTCAGGAAATGAAATAACGCGACATAACTTGCCGACAGCCGATAACATATAATTTTCCTATAGGATAAGTGGTCTCGTAAGCGATGGTCACCCTGCAAGTCTCAAGTGGGTTCTTACCTACCATGGTTCTTACCATTAGCATACCAAGTCATTTAACCTTAAATCATTCTTGGCTCCCTGTAATTTCACATTGAACACAAGAATACTCGAATTTGTACGAAAAGCGAAAACTCTAAACAAAAAACAACAACAACGAAAACAATTCTCTAAATTATTAAAGCTATAATTTCCTAAATGTTGTTGCTTATTTTTGTTTCTATTTTATAATGAATGCGGAGGTCGTCACGGACTTCTGATGCAGTAGGGTCGATGACTACGGCCAAGTTATGTAAACATATAACAAAAACTGTCACAATACTCTTTTTTTATTTCCGCAGTTGACATTGGGTTTCTATTGACGATCGGACCTGAGCAGGTATATCTTGGCGTGGCGTGGCTTACATTAAAAAAATCTGCTGAATAGCCCAATAGAAAAGCATTTAAGTTAGCAGAGAAAGAAAGTAAGAGTAAGAAAGCAGAGAGCAGAGCAAATATACCTTTGAACCAGGCTTAAAAACGGCAGACACCCAAAAATTATTTCAGAGGTAAATAAAGTAAATTAAAGAGAGATGATAATTTTCCGTCGTGTTAGGTGGTGGTTAATTGCCATCTTATAACCAATAAATAAGTAACTAAACGAATAACTTCAAACATTCGATGAATGAAATTATCGTCACAGTCTATATCTAGTCCACTGATGAACACGTTGTCTTTGGACATAGCTTTAGAAATTTCTCACAGCCTTACGCGAGTCTAGAGTCTGAGAATGACAGACAGATACCTTATTCCCAAATATATTTCTATGAAAAAGGTAATACTGGATAATCTTGCCAGATGTTACCTACTGCTAGATGTGTTCTAACAACCAGGACCAAACAAACATTTTGATCATAATTTTTTTTTCTACTAATATGCTACGAAATGACGGAGCAAATATGACTTTGCAAATATGATGAGTTAATTAATACAAATCTAAAACCTTCTTTTGCATCACTAAATAGTATAAAACAAAGTCGTCCCGCTGTCTGTCTGTCCCTATGTATGCTTAGATCTTTGAAACTACGCAAAGGATCTTGATGCGGTTATTTTTACTATATAGAGTGATTCAAGAGAAAGGTTTATATGTATAATACATTGCACCCGTGTGAAGCCGGGGCGGGTCGCTAGTAAAAATATTTTGAAATCTTCAATTAGCAATCGTATTATGAACTTTTTTATGTGAGAAAGTGGCAAACCAGCCCGTGGTTCACTCAATGTTAAGTGATTACCGCCGCTCATGGATATTTACAACTTGAGAGGCTGTAGATGTGTTGCCTACCTTTTAAACCGCATCCCGGTTACCTCACTCTGAAGACGAAACGAGATAGCCTAATACTTCAACTTCACGCCGGTCTTCTATGAGGTCTTGGTACTTTCCAGGGCGAACCTGCCCATTCGTGCAACAATAGAACTCATAACTAACATCAGTTTTCTCCGGATATAACGTACTAAAATTTTATATTCAAGAAAATGCACAATGTAAAATATTTTTTGAGATTATGCTGATCTGATTTCCAGGAAAAAACTATAAAAATGATTTAAACACAAATTTCAAACGAACTCTTGCTAAAGACGAATGGATAAACACGTCACGTGGGAGTTTTTTAATAGTAAGTCTGAAGTCTTGTTAATTTTATTTTAGTTTTAATTGACGTCTCTGAGTGAGACTATTCGAATTAGTAAAAAAGTACAACATGAATAAAAGAATATAACAAATGTTTTCGACTGCCGAGAATATTACTGATATTTAATTTGCCACTTGCAGAGTTTGAGAGAAATTAGTCAAAACCTTGAAGACGTTGACAGAATATTAAGAACTTGACATATGACAATATGTTTAACATAAATCGTAAAATATTTTGTGTTTTCAAAATAAAACCAAGGCTATAATGGTCATTTTGTACTAATCCCTAACCATATAAAGTTGATGATATATACCTCTTTCATCAACACCGGCATTTGTTGTTCCAGCGACATTTTGACATCCGGCGGACTGTATTCACGATTCGTCTCGAACATATGATCCATCTATCACGGGCACATACAGTCTTGTGTTTCGCACTAAAAATCGTGTTTTCTCATCGAATTGTATCATTCGATATTATTTGTGTAATGCACTAACGATAACCCTCGCGGTCGGCGTGTCGTGTACGAAAATGTTCGACGGGAACGTCAGCTCGTGCGATATTTTGGGGGTAGCTGGAAACGCGCTTACCGAGGCGACGTTGCGGACGGCCGTTTCGTGCCAACGCGAGACTCGAATGACAGCGGCCAGCGAACGCGGCGATTGCACTAGTCATGAGCAATTTGTGAAAACTAATTGCCGCGCTTTACTTCATTAGGATTTTGTTTACACAAATACATGTCGCCTTAAATAATATCGATTAAGCCGATAGACAGTGCCATGTACAATTACAACACGGCAAATATAAATAAACGGGCATGCCGGCCGTGCGTGAGGCGCACGCGTCTACGTAGTGATGCGGTGGCGCCCTCGTAAACGCCGCTCCATTACCGACTACACGTAACCGGCTCAAGAGTAACCCTGATCCCTGTTAATTAAAATCGTATAAGAAATCGCTCCGTAAATAGGACACAGGCGACGAGTAGACAACTGTCCGCTTTCCAATATGTATGTTGAAGTTCAATGAAATCATAATTGCACTGCACATGAAACTTACATAAATAAAACATTTATTTTTTAAGGTCAACAGTTTTATCGTCTATAAAAGAAAATAATAATTTAATTAAACCAAATCTATTGGAATATGTTTGTAAACAGAATCGTTTAAAGGGTGACATAGATAATTATGGAAAGATAAACAAATACAAACTCTAATTAACACAAAGTATACTAAACAGGCTAAATGAATTTATAAATAGATAGAGCCCGTAAATTACTTACATTTATTAGGATAAACAGAAGCATTAGAAAACTGGATTGAAGAATATTCCATCAATGATTTAATGACAAACAAAAAATGATAAGAAAAGGTGCTACTGCCTTTTCTTATCATTTTTTATTTGTCAAATCCTAACACATAATAAAAAAGAAGTTCAAAACGACTATATCTTAAGGAGTTTGAATTATAGTTACATTTTATTCGTGAAAAAATGCATATTAATCGTTATATGTATATACAATATGTAAGCTAAGGTATTAATAATTTCACATCGCAAAGTGATTTTCTATGGGCTACCTGCAGTGAAACCCGCTTTCTAATCAACCTCAATAGTTCAATTGAGAATAGAATGTACTATATATATTATCATGTATAGAGTATAGAACTTAACTATACATACACGTATACAAAAAAGAATATTTTTGATATTACTTATTCAACGACGTCGATTAAATAATACATGTTAAAATTAATTAAATAATAAAAATATAATAATAATAATATAAACTAAATAATATGTACATATTTATAATAAAAAAAAAACCTATGGCTATGCCATTTATCAACACCGATAGATTAGAACGATACCAAAAATAGAAGCAGAGCGCTTTATCGTTAAGGGTCCAGATTGTGGACCTCTAAGGGTCGGAATGCAAGCGATTCCAAATCTAGCTGTGCGGACACAAACACGAAGTTACAACGCTCACCCGAATGTATACAGTTGTTCAAATCGACATTCCTTCCGATGGTTCCAGAATGATGAATGGAACACAGCGGGTGTGTAGGAGCAGTGCTCTATATGTACCGGTCTGAGCATTCATTCCTAAACATTTCGTAGATTTTTAGATAGCGTGCCATTGACATCTGCGACGCATTGCGTTTATTCCACCGAAAGTTTTAGCGTAGTTTGTGTTCGAATGCATTATTACAATGTCTTTATTGCGAATGTGAGTCAGCAAGTTTAATACAACAAGTGATGTTGTAATTGGGTAGTACTGAAACGGAATCGCGGGTGCGAGCTGTTTCACAATTTTATATGAATCCTAGTAATTATGTTATAAAATAAGAGATCCGAGGGTGACAATTAAGGTTACGCAGCGGTGCGCATTCTATAACCCAGAAATAAAATTTATTTTCTGGAGACTATAATTTTAAGAATCTTCTGATAATCTGTTTTCCATGAGTTCGATTACACGAGTAGAGCATATTTTAAGCTGACTCGAAATTCCATTACATTTTAAAGTAAATTACAGATTCAGGTTACCATACTCATTCAGCGATACAAATTTATATACACAAAGCGACTTCTACATTGTCAGATTTTCGGATAAAATTAATTTGAGTAATATGGCATATAAAATAATAATATAAGCAATTTTATTTTATACAAACACAAATCTATACAATCAAATTATAATGCTTGGCAATATTTGTTGTAGAATTTTTTTGATAACATTATGCAATAGTATCATGGACACCATAAGAAACATATATTTTTAGTGGAAAAGCTTTCAATGAGTTGACCGTACATAACCTTAGCTATCATCATCAACAAATGATTAAAATTTCAAGATAATGCGAAGTATTCGTAAATATAAAAATCGTTTTGTTACGATAAAGTAAATCCAGTGAATAGATTTACCGCCTTATCTTCTAAGCAATATATTTTCCTACAATTAAAAGAATTTTTTATTTTAAATACCATAATAAAGTAAATCAGATTAGTTGTCTTGTCTCTAGGACTATGCGTCAAACATTCTTCTATCGCTTGACAAATCTGCTAAGGTATGCACGATAAACTTAGATATCAGGAGACAGACAAAATCCGGCATAATACATTAATCAATTGGCAGCTACTAGCTGCCTTGCAGTAATTCTCTGTACGAAAATACGTTCAAGTAATATCTTTGTACCAGAAATAACCGGCACCAGGCGCCCATCAATATCTCGACATTAATAATACCCACTGATATTGATAATCGAACCGAATACCGAACTCCAAAGCCCGAAAGTACATTTAAAAAAGTTTATTTAATCATCATTTCCGGAAATGAAAAATTAGAGCCAATATATATATTTTTTCACAAATATTAATTTTTATTAATTAGCCTGATACTAAGGTATAATCACTATCAGTTCAAAATATTAATTTTAATAATACGTAATAAAATTAATATGTAGAAACTTTTTCAAATAAAAATTCGTAATTGAGTTGATTTTTTTTAATGTTTAATTACAATACTCTAAAACGCTAACGGCGGATACAATATTTTTTATATCTAAATAGAGGTTAGGAAGGATTATAAAAGGAAAGAAATTGCAAGACAAACAATTATGGACGCCTATAGCAACTGTAATCATTCGACGTCGAGTACGTTTAACTAAACATAACGTCAGACCATAGTGCGACAAAATTAATCGTAGCCTAGATCACTTCTGTCGGCAAGGCAAGTAAATCGACTAAAATATTACCCTTTGAATAGAGCATTCGTGGAAAGCTAGACTCGCGCTAGTATTTCGAGCACGCAATGCAAATTGCCGCTGAAAAGCAAAGCCAGTGGGTGTGCTAGGTACACGACCAGGGGATAAACAGCTGAGATGGAATGCGCCGGTCTCCTGGAACCGGTCGCTTGTAACGCTCTGTAATCGCCACCTACCTTTCATAAGTAGTATCCAATAGAATGAACTTACCGATTTAAATTGAAGAGAAAGGTTCAAATCCAGAACAATTCAAGATATATGTGCTCACATAACCTAAATTAATAAGGACAACGGTGGATTAGAATAATAATGTAATGTAAAAATTGATTTGTGTACACAAAGTTTTACTTAGGAATAAAAAGTAAAAGAATAACTACTTAATACAATAACTCAAAAGCGAAGTTATAAGTAGGGCAAAGTAATTTATTTTAATAAGTTTTTCTTGCAATAAACTTTATATAATAATGTGTATACTTTCACTTTCACCTAAATTTTAATTTACAAAACTGATGACAATAGAATGGATTATCCTGTCCATTCTGGGATAAGATTATTGTGATGGTGGAAGAGAGTAGACCATTCATTTTAAATACTCTGCTCTTGTGGTAGAGCCACACACAGCTTCAACCGCAGTGGCTTTTGCACAATTGAGCACGTTCCGGGGAAATAAGCATGACTTCACAAAAGAACGAGTAAAGTAAAAGTATTATTCGTTAATCTTTCGACTGGTTGTAGTAAGTTAAGTAGCGCCAAATTAGACGTTGCATCTGCAACCCCACATCCATTACATGCACGAATGGGCAGGTCCGTCCGGATAAGTACCACGACCTCACAGAAGATCAGGGTAAAGTAGAATTGTTACAGTTCTGCGTTTCGTGTGGTGAGTGAGGTAGCCGGGGCCCATTTTATTTAAAGGTGGCAACGCCTTTGCAACCCCACGAGTGTTGCAAATGTCCATGGACGGCGGTCATCACTTAACATCAGGTGAAAAGTCAGCACGTTTGCCATTTTTTCGCATAAAAAAACTATACTCGTGAGCAAATTGATTCTTACGTCGTGCACGAAGCTGACTGTCTGTAAAGAAATAACTGAGTCCTAAATAAAATTTTCTTATTGAATTATTTAAAATGCATGTTTTGACTTCTAAATAATTTAAACAAATGTTGTCTTTTTCTTGTTCTTTTTTTATGACGGACTAACAATCGAGCTCTGTTCCCTTCTCAGGTGAAATCATGGCAGCGACAGACGTATGGCAACGACAGTATCCATGGCACCGACAGACGACAACGAGTATAGAAGGCCTGGAGAGCGATTCGCCCAGTGTATAAGTGAAAATGTGACATTTGATACCAAAACTGAGTTGGTTTTCATCGAAACTAAGAGCACATGTTAAGCCTTGCTTGGCAAACAGATACCATTACCAGCAAACATTAGGTAGACTTAAATACAATTGGGTAATTATGGGACGAGCGTAAAACAAAAAGTTCGGGCTAGAAATCCTGCGCCAGCTACGACATCGAAAACTTTTCTAGTGAGTTCTAGGGAAACCAAAGTTTTGGAAAGAATACTGCATAAATAAAAATAAATAAATAATTATAATTGCACAAGTTGATAAAAGATGCAATAGCTTTACCGCGGCAGTCC